AAACAACCGACGACATTCTTCGGAGTACAGTTTCAATAATCAACAAGTGACCAACCACAGCCCAACAAACAATGGCAGAACGTGCTGGAACGAAGCACGTTCCGGTAATACAGTCAGTTGTACCTCCACAGACATGCAATCACAAACAACCGGGGACGAGGGGGAGGAGATACTCGAACCGAATAACGACCGTGTATATTTGTCCACCGTACAAGTTGTGAAGACCGTACGTCTTGCAAGTCAGCAGTTGGCCATTGCCCCCGTTGAAAAGTACCCTCTACTAGTCAAAGTGAGTGATGAACTTGTTTAAGGAAAGACTATTCGGCCGCGTGAATTTGATTGTATAAAATTGTAAACTGCCTCAAATCATTCGATATTTGGTTGTTTAGAACGATTTTGAATATTCTTTTTGATTGAAGCAATTATTAGATGGCTCATCTTTACTTTTATGAAAAATATGTTATCAGATCAGCCTGAAAAACGAGGTTACCCAAAAGCAATATTTGTTACAACCTCGTATAAATTATCAAACCCATATACCCGTGCAACTCAGGAGTTCCAATCATATCATCATGACTCGTCTTGTGTACTTCATTTTGTTTTATCATAATACACAATAACATGGATAATAATCAAGACCACAGGTATTTATGATTCATTGAAGGGAAAAATCACTTCGGGTCTTGTGGTTTGCAATGTTGATCTGCATTTGTAAACTGAACTTTGAACTGGATAGAAACGGGGCTACTTCGGTGGTCTTCAGTAGAGCGATAAACCTCCAGGGGTGTTTGCTAAAGAACCTACGCGTGACACTTTCGTTCATATAAGTGACTGTAAATATGACATTATTCTTTTCATTGTGAAGTAAGTTGTCTCCTCTTTATCGAGCAAAGCAACAAAATTATCTTGACTTGTATGTCTCAACATGGATGAAGTAGCTTTTTTGTGTTGTTTTTTGGTCCTCACGTATGTAAACTATTTTTCAACCAAGCTCCTAATGCCTTATACTTGGCCCTTTGAAGAAATGAACCCAAACTAATATCGAAGCCCAGTCAGCAGTAGACTGAGGAATCCAGGAAAAAAATCAAGCTGGTTCACTTAAATTGTGTCTCTCGTTTATTTAATTTCTTTATATCCTTAGTCTATCTGAGCGATGCTATCTCCAGTTTACTGACCCCTATTTCTTCCCTCTACTCTTTCACTTAAATGAAATTCCAGAAAATGGCAACCAAGTCCGCCGCACAAATTTGCAGATTTATTAATTAAACAAAGTGTGTCAAACTAAAGCATATTGCAGTGATCATTTTTTCTCAAGAAAATAAGGAAATCAACCCCTATGGTTTAAGGATGCGACATAGTAGTTCAAAAATATGTGGACTCAATTTCGTTCTTGGTAGACCACGGATGAGCTGTGTTAACTGTTTCCTAAGGTGTAGGAGAGACTTCATGTCGTGTTACTGTATTCTAGGTGTGTACTGTGTGTACTGTACTGTACCGTACTGTACTGTACTGTACTGTACTGTGTGTACTATCGTCAGCAAACAGTTTGTTTCAAACGTTCGGAACATAGTTTATAAATGTCGGGACCAAACACAAATCCCCGTGGAACCCCGTAAACCGAAGCTAAAAGATGATCTGATTTGTTCCATTCTCGGAGAAACCCTTCGATCCGTAATAACAGCCATTGCTTAATGACATTTAGTGGTTTACTTGACAGAATGCTATCCAAACATTCACACAAACTACTACCAAGTTATATCCTTTGTTTACTGCGCTTAAGCATCCATCTCTGAAAATAAACAAGTTGGTATAACTGAATGGCTTCTACCAGAAACCATGACGGTCTGGTAAATGAACAGCATGTCTTGCTACGTGTTCTATCAAAGAATCTGTACTAGTCGACTACATGAATTAGGATAGCACTGAAAGGATGGATACAAATCAGTAGTTAGCAAAGTTCCTTTGACATCCACATTTGTAAATGAATGAAATAACGTCTTGTTCTCACGGCTGCACGAGCACTATATAACCAAACATCCGTAGGAATATAAGGGCTAGTGTTTTAATGATGTCATTTCACAAATGGAGAGGGGTTTGCACCTGAAGGTGAATTCTTTCGCAGAGCTGGTAGTTTTGCTTCCGTATTTTCAAAAATAAATGTACTAGGATCAGCGGAGGATAACCGAGATGATCAAACCTGTGAGGAATTTGCAGTTTTTCAATGCCTATTACACCAAAAACGTGGGCAAATTAAATTGATGGTATCCCAGCCACCTACGTTGCAGTAGATGCAAACATTCCAGCGCAGCTTGGTACCGGTATTCCATGCTTCATTGTTCGTGATACGTTAATGAGGAGTAGTTAGAGTGGAATCTGTCAGAAAATGTGTGTACCACAGCTAAAATAAATCTCTCAGTGATATCTTTAGAACCCGAACAAATGACAACAATACGGCTAATTTAGCATACTTCAATGGCTGTTAAAATTACATAATAAGCTTAGAGGGACACATTTTTTTAAGTCTATACGTATAAAAGAACAGCTAGCGAGCATTTCGTACATCACGAATTACCAAGAGTTAGAATAATACCAAAATACTATACAATTTCGGCCTTCGGGATAGATTGACCTCAAGCAGTGGAAGGTGAAATACTATGTGAAATCAGTTGGTATAAAGAGCCAGATTTTATTTTAAAAGAGCTATTATCACACACTTTAGAAAGATTAGCTTTCGCACGAGGAATACAGATCAGTGACACAGGTCGGTCAAAACGTCTTGAAGAGGACCAAGTGAAAGTGATAGGTGCACAGACATCGGGTAATTCAAACGTCTGCATAGATACAACGAATAACTACACGGGAATAGAAGACAGCTTGACGTTCAGGTATAGAAAGAAAGTCGGAAGAACTGCTTCTTGAAGCGCAACAGCATTAGGGCCAAAGACAGTTTCATGTGGCTTCTTGTCGCATTCGATTATTCCTTGAATTCTTTGTCTTCATTCACCGATTGCCTCCTCATCCTGATATTTCTAAATGTGAATTTCTAAATTCAATGAAGTAGATTGTTTTTATTGTTTCTGAAACCGGAGCTCGTGTGTTCTGTGTAAAAAACGAAATGCCTACGTTGTTGTTTCGTTTATGTACAAACACAGAGCATCGGAGCTTCCGTGCGGGACCTGTTCGCGGCAATCGAAGTCGAGTTCGGAACCAGCAACGTTGAGAATGAGGTAAGCCTAGTGAAGATGTTATAACCGAAATTGTAAATACTTCTGATGTGTACATTCGAAGTGAGACCTGTTGTGCTACTATCAAAGAGTCAAATTGTGCTTATGCATGCTTCAATTCCGGCTTATGCAATTTGACAGATATCGGCGCGAATATCCTCATCTTTTCATCAGAGGTCTCCCAAGGATTGATTCTTGATAGTCAATCAATTCTCCAGTAGCTTCTTTCATTTTAATTGGGATAAAACAGCGTCTAATGAACAATATGACCAGGAATAAACTGTTAGGTCTTGATTGGGATGCATCGACGGGGTGTCTCTTCCATGACCGGAACTACGAACACTCCGGCTCGGAGTAAAAACTCTCATCACACAGCTAAAAATATAATGGCTCATAGCTTCAGCGCAAATAGAACTTGGAGCATCCAACAATTTCATGCGAGAGAACTGAATGCGTTAGACAAAAGTAAATGAGTCCTGTGTGGTTTGAGATGTGAAACTCTTTCTGAGCATGGCTTTTAGGAGTGCAAGGTGCATACGGATCCCGCGGCAGTTCTTGGACCAGCATAACACAATAAACTAAACATAGTGCTAGACGTTTCTTCCGTCGTGTTTTGATTAACTTAATTTTCATACAGTAGACCTGACTCAAACAAAAAATTGTGAGTGGGAAACCAAGATTAAATTCATCTTTCACAAATTCCAAGCACTCGCGGTACCCGCATTGCACGAATAATTCAATGAGTAAGCCTTTTCGGTCGTAATCAACAAATTCATTGAAGAAATTGAGCAATATGAAAAACTTCCCAATTTGCTAGGTTGCTGAGCTCTCTACAATTCACTACTTCACTTAAAAGAATCATTCTTTCAGACGTATCCCTCCAGGTTGGCTATTCACAAGTAGGTGGTTACTCTTTACCGGTCACTTTCACGAGCGGTTTCAAACGTGGCCTCAGCTGGTTCGAGAGAATGATTCTCGCAGTCATACATGAATGAGGCCAGTTGAATGCAAGCGTCAAGTACCACTGAATAGACCGTGCGAACTCAAGTCTGCTTGTTCAATGATTTTGCCCTAGAGTATCTGAAAAAAGTGAAAGGTGATATAAGGAGCTGCTTGAAAACTGATCGAATGATTCAAATGAAATGAAATCATACCTGCAGTGTGCATTCAAAGGCAGAATGCGTTTAATTGACTCATTCTCAAAACTTTACAGACCATGTATGGTCTTCTCGAATGAAACATGGAGAGACAAACAAATATATCAACCTCTATACGACCTGCACTTAGTTGTGCGTGAACCACAAACTTTGACTAGTTATTCCCTGATATAATTTACTGTTGGGAAGTTACCAAAATAAATTAGGCTGCTTTCTATACTAAGACGACTCGGATTATTTAACGGTGTGAGAAGCGCAATACTGCGGTGACGGTGAAAAATATCTCTTTCCACAGTTTCCCAGCAACAAATATTGAGACTATGGAAAAAGCTATATTCAATCATACGCAAGAACAACCAGCCTGGCCAAAGTAATTCAACTAACCTGGACCTAGCAAGAACTCAACGGAACGTCAAGCGTAACAAAAAACTGTAAAGCAGCTGTATTATGTCGGCGGAAATGTCATTCTTGAACAACATCAGAGTTTATGCTTTCTCCTAAACATGTTGTCCAAGTTCAACAAGTTTAACTGACCTACTTCCAGAAATGTCTGTAGAAAGTTGACAAGTAGTCATTGAAAATATTGATCTGCTCTTCAGTAGTAATGACAATAACATCAATCAGTGACGCGTTTAGGATAGAAGGGAACAAAACAGAGTAAAACTTACATGGGAAGCTTAAGGACTTGACCCAACTGTTGGCTTGTATCTCTCATAAGTTCGCTAAATTCATTGAACTAACAGAACCATTTGCAACTCCGATCTTTTCTGTAAATTACAACAAACTCACTTCGTTTTCCCTCTGAACTTTTATTCCAGATATTCCTAGCTGAGCGTCAACTGAATGCATCAATGTATCACTTAATTTCCACCATCAAAGATGCCAAGCTGTCGATCAATCGAGGACCTTTGTTGGAGGAATACCGACGACATCTGTTGACACTTTCGTACGCCATCGCTGCTGATGCACATTCCCTGTATACGGCCGTGCATGAATCGCGAAATCGACTCCTAAGCAGCAGACAGTCTGCAACCTAGTAGTGCTGACAATCTTATTCTAAACTTTGAAATGAGGCACTCACAATCAAGTGGATCTTTCTGACCACATAATACGAGTCGCTGTATTGGACTTCGCATGGCAAACTGGAGAAAATGCAAGTTGAGACCGGAGAGTTGTAAACAAAGCTACTGCAGCCACTGCTGCCGCTGCTATTGCTCCACATGTCTTTTATCCTATTTTGTTTTACTAATTTCGTTTGCCTGACCACTCACTCACACACACGTTTGATCTGTCTTATACACCTTTTCGATACCACACTTACTACTGTTACCTTCGAACAGTAGGCTGTATACACTGCTGTATAAAACCACACTCGCTCACCACCTGCGTATAGACCTACTGGTAAGCATGATGCACAGCGAAATGTGATGATTACTTGATAAATAAACCTACTACCACTACCCTCATTGTTTTTTCTTTGTTTCACTGCAATTTCGATAACTGGCAATTGTTCAGCTCAGATTGCCATTGTTTTGAAGTGATGCGGTTAGTTGTCGTGAAGGGCTTCATTTTTCACTTAAGATATTCAGTGAATTTGAGCAAACTCACATTTGCNCACGCGGTTCAGATCAATGATTCAGTGATAATGTCTCCGAAAAATGGAGACCCATCTCAACCTAACTCCTTAGTCCTTTCATTTTGTTATTATTCTCAGGTTCTATGCAGCGATCAATGAATAGCAGGGTATCCTTGTGGAACCGAAGGGCAATGTGGAATTGGTACTCATACTGGAGTAACAGTTATGACACGCCGAGTCCACAACTCGATGTAACTCAGCGTCCCATAATCTATCACACCGGCTCCAACTGATTTTCATGCAAGCTCCAATATTGATAAATTGAAAGTAAAATAATTCATCTCATCAAAACAGATAAAAACGTTATCACAAAAGCGTTTTACCTTGTTATTTATATTTGATATTTCAATTTCAAAGTGCTTTCCAGCACTGTGAATGTTAATGTTATAGTGTTAATAACACAGCGATGTCGGTAGTGAATTATATTCGCCGATGTTTCGATTACCGTGGGTAACCTTTCTCAAGGCAGGTTTTGATTGTATATTGCCACAAATATTCACTTTGATATAAATACTGTATATCAATTTAGGTAACTTTCCGTAACCGTTAAGTCTATGCCATATTGGTGCATATGACCAGACATTCATGATTCCATGTATAAACTCTCTAAACCAAATGCGGCTCGGAATGCTCCTATGTTGGTTATATCGTGTTTAGATCCCTACGTACCTGCAGTTTTTTCTTTGACTGGACAGAGTTTGACAACTCAATTCAACAGCTGAGAAGGGATGGTCCTCCCGTCGAATTGGGACCATTTCGAATAGTTCCTGCGTGTTTCGCTCACATATATTCACTTCTTTAGAAATGCTAGACTCTATTATTTTAACTTGATGTGCTTTGTGCCCAGATTCTAAAGAGGAGTGCTGTAGAATAATACTTTTTCTGGTACACAGTTCTACAATAAAACATAAACACACACCGTGAAAGAGTATATCACCCCCTTCTCGTATATTTTGGATTATCCCCGCTCTCACATAGACGATCATCACTATTTAGCACGGTAATCGAATAAAAAGCTGAACTACGGAGTTTCATCGAATTACGCCAAAAAACTGATGGAAAAACAAGATTCTCACCTTCATCCCCCCTCCCCCATGCACTTAAATCACCGAAGTCACTCTAGTACTCCATATAAAATTTTGATTCATCCCATTGGACCACCAACGAATATTCTGAATAGAACACAATTTAGCGAACAAGACTTGGTTTCAGTAATTCGTCTTCTTTGATTACTACACCATTAGACATCGTCTATATTCCTTCAAGTTTATTAATTTATTATTGTCATTTTTTGAAAGTAATATTTCCACCCTCCCGTATTTTAACCGAGTTAAATAAATTCGAATCATGTCCGTGCAGATATTATTCCACACTCCAATCAACACTGCCCCTAATTCCTGCCTTGTGGTGTAAACTTTCCATTGTTAGTGCAGCTTTCGGTTAGGAATAACCCAGATATGTTCCTGTTGGGTTCAGATCTATGCTCCACGCAAGCCATATCATTGTTTTGGTGTCGCGAAATAATAAAACCAGGATTTTGTTACGTATGAGTAATGAAGTTCAGTTATATCATGTTGAGCAATGATTTCAGAGTGATCATTCGATGGCATTACGAGAATAAGGTGCCACTCCAATGTGAAAACATATTCATCAGAATCTTGTATCTCACTCAGTATAATACGTTTGGCTGAGACGTTGCCTCATAAGGTACTGTGTGGAATTTTGATCGCCAACCCGCTACCTCAAATACCGCACTTTCCGGATCATACTAGTATTAGTTTCAAGCGTCGGGTACACCTAGAGTACGTTTCTTTGCTTCATTAATTTAGAAGGAATTCCACTCTTTTTCTCTAAGTACAGTGAGTTTCTGTGGTGATTGTGTATAAACTGAACATTCCTGTTTCTTTACATGATCGATTGATTTGTACAATTTCAGCGCGCGAAACATTCCGACTTCG